TGCTGACGTGCGCTTGTTGTTCTGCTAGGCCGCCGGCCGCGGGGACATCTTCTGCCGGGTCGGGACGCTGTGCGGAATGGCCCTGTACAACTCCTGCCTGGTGCCCTTCCCCTTCCCCGCCGCTCTCTACAAGAAGCTGCTGGGCCTTGCGCCGGCCCTGCAGGACCTCGAGGAGCTGTGGCCGCCGGTCGGTCGGTACGAGCCCGGCCCTGCCCCGGGGGGCTGGGGGGCTTCGGGCAGGTCCGCAGGCTTGACGATGCGCAGGGAGATCCCCAGGGCCATAATCAGGGTCCCCACAGCAGCAATATCTGCCGTTGCAGAGGTGCTGGAAGGCACAGGTTTCCCAGGTGGGCCTTGTCTGGGGCACGGATGTTGCTCTGGAGCAGAGGCTGGCATCACTAAAGTGGAAAGGCAAGGCCCGTGGCTTGGAAGGGGTCAGATCTCTGCTCCACATGAGCTTAAGTCCACACTGTGACTTCAGACCACTTTGTTTAAACCACCACGAGATCAAAACCGCTTTGAGCTGTAGTTTGTACTTGGAAGAGTTAAGCACCTGATGGGTGGTGTTGGTAATGATGCCGTGCACAAGCACAGCGTTACCTAATGCAGTTGTGGCAAATCTGAGAACCTGTATGCAGGGGTCCCACGGGCTGGGAAAGGAGATTTGGGGCAGATATAACAGGAAGAGGTGCTGCTGCTACCAACACCAGTAGCTTCTAGGCCCCTGAAGCCCAGCTTTCTACACAAGTGCTCTCAACAACCAAGAAAGTGAGAACCTCCGTTGTGGAGGCAGTGACTGTGTTGAGATTCAAAAGAGCCTTCAGTGGACTGAAACATCAGCCTGTCTGCAGAGAGCCCCTTTGAGAGGTGCTGCACCCCAAAACAGGTCATCCTACTGGTCCACACTTCATATCCTCACTAGATGATATTTGGAAAAATCAGGCTGTGGTCCAAGCCCACTTGCCACCAAACTGTGTAACGTTATCCCCACAGGGCATGGGGATGGACTTGCCTGGAATACTTGGCAGCGAAGGCATTTGCCCTTAGCTCATGGCAGCAATGGGACATAAGTGTATACAGATCAGTTTAGGGCCATATATAAAGGTTCTGTGTGACTCTAGGTGTTCTGTATGTGTATGCGTATAAATACTGCTTGTCAAAGGATGATCTTCAGTGGACTTTGAAAATACATTGAATGGTCATGTTTCTTCTCTCTTTTTCCCCTTTGTTTTTCAAAAGGAATCTTCAGGCAATTTTGGATGAAGAAGATGATCGTATCTTTGAGAGCCTGGAAATGGACTTCACAGTAAGACATTATTGTGCCATTCAGACATGCCATACCTGTACTCAGGCAAGACAGTGTCCCACTGCAAATCACACAGCTTGTCTGTAAGGTCAAACTAGTAAGAGTGCTCTGTCAGGCCCTGCAGAAAGAATGGTAGATAGTACCTGTGTATCTGTCACATACAGGTACAGCATCCAAGGTTGTAATTTATTTGTGTAGATAATGGAAGAAGGAGATTCCATGGTTGCTGTTGAACTTAAAGAAAATGGTGCCAGCATCCCTGTCACTAAGGATAACAGGTTGGTTTTAGTTTTCTTTTTCTTACCCTGTTGTTTTGAGTGCATGAAATGCCATATGTATGCACATCAACATATACCCTTAGAAAATACTGAACATCAGCATTGTGCTGTTGGTCTTGGTCCAATGGGTTGCATGCTCCCAGTTCTTGCTGTACATGCTGCCTATGTGCAAGTTTGTGCAAGCAGTGGTTGAGAAGGGGATCCTTGCACATCTTAGCATCTGTGTATATCAGCAGGATTCCGAAGAGTATAAAATACCCCTGAAGGATATTTTTAGGGAAATACAGACAACTTGTCTGGGAAATCCATCTGTAGGTACCCCTCTGTAATTTTTTTTTAGTGGGCAAAATGTTTCCTGGTTAATTAGTTGTATGGAATGTATCTTGCATGTAACAGAAGGAGCCGTTTGTCAATAAGGTATTGTATTGATATTGACCTCAACACAGAGGATAGAGATAAATTCTGTGGCCTGATTTATGCAGATGAGCTGAGGACCCATGGGAACTCATGAAAGGGCTGTTAAGGAGGCTCAAAGTATAGCATTTACATTGAGTTGATTGTACAAGTGCAATGTCACTAAAACCTCTGTCACAGAGAGAAGAGTAAAACTGTACTGATTAGCAGCTGTGTAAAGTTTTATTTTAATTTCTGGGTAATTCTTGGGCATTCAGTGGGAGTTTTGCTAAATCTACACCATTTAGGTCTGCTAGGTTCCATCTTAATAGGGAAGTGTCTGATAGGATTTCATTGGAGTGTTCACATGAAGTACAAGGAGTATTATCAAAATAAGTCCATGTTGGCCAGCATTCTCTTTTACATGTGATGATCCTCCCAGCTTAATTCAGTGATTAAATAATTCCTAGTTATTGCTCTCAGTAAAGACTGAGTCTTTACGGTAGAAAAGGTCATATGGAATAAAGGGGTAAGGAATGAAGTTTTCTATAATTCTCCTTTTGAAAAAGCACTTGTTTTTTTGTTTTATTCAAAATATCTTTGCAGGAAAGAATATGTTGACTTGTATGTGAATTATGTGTTCAATGAATCAATACGGAAGCCATTTGAGGACTTTATGCAAGGGTTTTTAAGAGGCTGCCCAGCTGAAAAGTGGAAGATGTTTCTCCCTGCAGAGCTCCAGATTGTTCTCCAGGGACAGACAAAGTTTGACTGGCATCTGCTGGAAAAGGTATTGGATACAAGCCCAGTGTATGTCTCCTATATCTTTCTTTTTATTTTGTTCTTGTTGTTGTTGTGAGTCTGTTTCCAATCTACATCAGATACAAGAACAAAGGGGACTAAAAACCAAGTTGTAGCTCAGGGATTGCTGTATAGATCCTTGAAAAACAAATGAACAAGCAGATTCCAGAGGTTAAGAGGATTTTCGTATCTATGAACAAGATTATAAAATTTATCAGGTAAACTGTTGTTGCTTTAAATAAAAATTGAAATAGCAAGGATAAACTGGCCAGTTTTATTTTTATCTCTTTGACAGAATGTGATATACAGTCATTACCAACCATCAGATGAAACCATCAGGAATTTTTGGACTGTGTTTCACAAACTCTCAGAAGACAAAAAGAAAAAGTTTCTTGGTAATATATCAGGCTTTTAAAAGTTTCATAGCCCTTTTCTCTCCCCTATGACACATGTTTCAGATGCTTGCACATGAAAAGTACTACAGTTCCAAACTGCTTTTCAACATGTCCTCCTGCATCCCCATCAGATTTTCTACTGAAAGCCACAGAGAAGTGACACAAATAACTGCACAGACACACTTTTTTGCCATCCTCACATCACTTAAGGCTTGCCTGAGTGCATATGACTTCCTTGAAGCTTGCAATTAATTTATCCTTTACTTTTGTGGTTATCAGTTGTTGGTCGGGGGCATCAGCTTCTGATGTCAGCAGTTTAGCTTTCTCAAAGAATCACAGAAGCTACCTCATCTTTTTTAAATGTTGAAGGTCAAACCTGGCCTGACCATCCACAAGATCTAGATAGATAAAAGAGGGCTTATAATTGTTATGTATCAGCAGGAGACTTGATTATATTCTGGTAGAAATTAAAGAAAGCAAAATAATTAGCTTATGGAAATAGCTGTTTTTTTACATCAACTCTCATTATCATTTTCATCCTCTGATAACATTATCTTGGTTATTTTTATTATTATTATTATTTGCTAACTTGTTTTTGTTTTTTCTTTTTTCCCCCTTCAGCTTTTTTGTCAGGATCTGATCGAATCTCTGCTTATAAACTGGAACGTTTTACATTTTCTATTGTAGATCCTCAAGTAGCAAATCCAGATGAGATATATCCTTATGCTAATACCTGCAGCCTCATTTTGTTCCTCCCTAGATACAGCCGAAAAGGAATACTCAAGAAAATGCTGCTCTGTTCCATAGAGCATGATGAAATGTTTGGTTTGCTCTAACTCTTGGTTGGGAGCACTTTAAAGCAAAAGTAAGAAAACAAATCTTGGTTTCACTTGTCATATTTTTCCCAATAACTCATATGTACTGGTTTCTGCCCTGCCTGGTTTTTACTGCACTTTATAAACATTTGAGTGTGTAAATTCACTAAGATTTTACATTGATTATAAAAATGAACTTAGGGCAGGTGCCTGATGGTTAGATTATAACGTTATGAAAGAAGAATCCTATTTAACAGGCTTCCAAGAAGCAAGCAGATAACCAAGTGTATTTACCTGTATGCACTGCACTGTGCTGGTCTTGTTTAGTTGATGAGCTTTCAGCAGCAGGGATTCTGCAATCTATACATTACCAAACACTCAGCCAGTACATGCTAAGCATTCATTGTTGCAAGAGGAAGCTAGGGTAAATGTTCATCTGTATTAGCTAAGAATTCTCTTAGGAAGCAACCAAAACTAAGGAGACCTGTTTCTGCAAGCTGTGAATTGAAGGAGCAGTCTGTGCTCACCTGAATATAGCCTTTGACTTAACTGAGAGGAGTTCTTGGCATGAGGGTTTGATCATTCCTAGGCTTTGTCAAAAGCTGTATTTGTAAAGTATTCATGGACTTTTTATTATTTAGCAGGATACTTGTCATGTTTCTTTTTCTAAGGAGGTACTTGGCAATTAAAACATAACATTTTAGTCTTACACAGTAGCTCTGTCTACAGAATCCTGAGGCTTGCCCAGCTGCTGGAGTCTCATTGATGAAACAGTGCAGATACTGGAGGGGCTTTGACAATGTCAGGCAGGATGTAAATGCAGGATGTGTATTTTTCTGTATATTTTGCTTTGTGTGAAAATACAGAGAGAGAGAACAATCATCATTTTTCAGCAGCCATCTCCTCTTCAGTGTGCTAAATGTGTCAGTGGATATGTAAATAAGACTTTTACTGTGTTGAATTAAATGATGATTGATTAAACTTCCACACCTGTAGTAAGTAATCTTTTTTTGTTATGGAGCTGCCTGTGTATGACACTGCATCTATGTTCTCTGTCTTTGTTGATCTGAAGGAGCCATTTACAAAGAGGAGTCAATTTCAAATAGGTGCATTGTATAGGCTGGAGGTCTTTTACGTTTGGTGCTGAGTATGCTTTAGATGAAATAAAAATTGAGACCAAGAAGAAGAGGGTGGTCCAGAGGTTGAGCCTAGGTTCAGTGAGAGAAATGAGAAGCCAGGTTTTTCCAAAGGGCCTGGCAGCCATGATTACTCAGATGTCTAACTTGAGCAGCAGAGCTGTTAAAAAAATACCCTGGAGTGTGGGTGCTGACATTCCAAAACCCCTACTCCACAGGGGATCCCTTTTGCAATGAAATAAAGGACAAACAGTACTTCAGTTGCGTAATGAAAGTTGGGAAAATGTGGTGGCAATGATGCCCTTTCTCTTTGGCTGTCTTATATGAGAATGTTCAAACTACAGGGATTCCTCCAGGAATTCATGGTTTTGCCACGTGTATATGTAAGTAAGAGTGAAATGAAATACTCTGTACCTCAGTAAGCAAAGAATGTTGTTGCAGCATGGTATGTTTCCATGAGAGGAGCAAAGGAGACAGGCTACAGAGCCTCTTTGATCTGGGAGGCCATCTCTTTGCAATGCTACTAAATTATATAAACCTGTTTTGGAAATGACTGTTAGGCTAGTGCAGTAAATGTTTCCTAAAAAGACATAGGCATTAGTTATTTATGAATTTTCAGCTCTTCAGCACACTGCTGCTTTCCTTTTTTGTGTCTTTTCTAAGCCTATGTTAGGGCTTGGAAATCCAAAGTGATCTGTGCTGTGCATAGAAGATGTATTCTGTCTGGATTCCAAAATAACCTGTTAGAGATTAAATGATAATAGGTTTATTTAGAGCCTAAAGGAGTTTACTTCTCAACGTGTATGATGCAACATCACATAGGAGATTAAAGTCCAGAATAACTTTCAAGGCTATTTTTAATTTGTCCTCAAATAAGCTCTGCTTTTATAAAAATAAAATAAAGCCCTTCAGAGGGAGCAGAGTAGAGCCCTCCTCTGTCATTTTCTGAAATTAATTTGAGCACCAAGCTGTGTCCAGATTTTCTCAAGCAGTGCTCATTGTAAAATATGCAGAGGAGTACAACATGAGTGAGCCAAGAGGTTAGCCTGGTGAAGTGTGTTAGGGGTGAGCTTCCTGCTGGATTTCCTGCTG